GAACGATACTGACGTCACGGCCCGATGTTGCTTTAGCGATCGGCAACCCGCTGGCCGCCCGCTAAGGAGCAGCGGCTCGCATTTTTATTATCGGCATTAGTTGAGAATGCGACGTCCCACGGTCGTAATATTTTGACTGGAGTCGTATTTTGTGTCAATACAGCAATACCAGTAATTTATCTCAGTTTGAGTTTTGGCCGGAGTTGTCCCTTAAAGACCAGTTCGCGTTTTCCACTTTTCCCCCTCTTCCTCCTCTCCCCCTTCTACCCTGTCCACCGTTGCCTGTTTCCTCCTCCCCATGGTGAGGAGGATCTTCTGCCTTCTGCCTTGCAGAATCTTGAGTATGGTCGTTGGCCTTTAAGGCAGCGCTTTCCATCTTTGTTCAACGTCATTCTGTCATGAAGGGCTGTGCCTGGCAAAGTGCTCAGCAACAGAAAGAAGCAGCACTATTACATTTCTCTTATCAGAAAAACAATTATTATGAAATGAAATGAGCCGGAGTTACCCCCGTAACACCTAATCGAGCTGGCAAGTTCTACTTCCAATAATATACTGTTCACTTCCAAGCCACTGTCCATGATTAAATTTTTCGAGGTACTAGATAAACTAAATTGGTGTAAGTATGTTTATACATACTGAACTTAGCCTGTTTCAACGGGCAACTTGTCTCTCAGCTGTAGATGAGCAATTTAGAGGTATTGGATAGCCTCCCATGTAACTGCGTTCAGAGCTCCGAGGAGAAACACGTGACTTTTGAAAGGGGTTCATACCGAGAACATAGCGATACACAGCGCACTAGAGGCAAAGGCACAGTAGCAGAAAACAGACAGGACAAGCGCTGACTCGTAACCCAATGTATAAAACACAGATGAAGAAAAGAAAAAAAAGATGATAAAAATCAGAAAGGATGTGTCCATGGCAGGAGAAAAAAAAAAGTAATTAGTCGTTAGTTGTTTACACGAGAAGCGCATAACACCCGCAAGACTGCCAAGCACGAACGTCACAGATGGTTGACTTGCACAGCATTCCCCCAAACCCGTTATAATAAAGGCTTCATAGACCTCCCTCGTAATTTTGTCCCTATATCTAACAATAAAAGTGGTCTTAGCCATGGTTGACTTGCAGGAACAAACTTGGCATTCTAAGGGCAGCTGGCCTCTGACCGTGGACAGGAGAAACAAATTATGTTTCTCCTGTCCAAGCCCCAAGCCCCCCCCCCCCCCCCCCCCCCCCGTCCTTCCACAAGAAAGGGGAGTATTTCCCCTTTCTGTATCCCTTCCAGAATTAAATTCTCCATACCGAGAGAATTTCAATGGGTGAAGGAAGAGGCTGAAATAGAAAGGAGAACGGCAGATGTAGCCACATGCCTTAGTGTGCCTTACTCTCTCCTGCATGTTCATACGTTTCGAGGTGATGACTGAAATTTTTCAAGGGGGGCTAACGAAATGCTACCGCGTTTGAAAATTGGGCTTTTTGAGTTTCATCGGCGGTGGAGCCCACTAACGCTTCTGTGACTCGGTAAAACCAAAATGGCACTGATGAACGCTCGATGACGTACAAACAACAAGGTGCGAATGGCACAAGGGGTTCACCGACATGGCAGCAGGCGGCTTATGAAAGTCCCAAAGTATGGTTCTTGAAACTGCCCTATTCACAATTTACATCAATTCACCACGAAAACAGTCATGTTGACTGTAAATGTGGGACTGGTTGTATATGTACAGTCAAGGAAAAGCGGTAGGTTCAAAGAGACCGGTCACATGTCAAAATACTTCCATATAAAAACAAGCTTGGCATTACAAAATGCTGTTCCTAGATTAAAGAACACCAATACATTTTCGTGGCTTAGGCACAGGGTTCTCAAGCTCGATGAATTGGCACGAAGAACAAGCATGAACTGTGCAAAACCGTCTCCACTGTAAATCTTCTCACAAGTAAGTGGAAATATATACCCTAGTTAGTCAAAAAAAATCTACCGGTAATTCACTTCGTCCACAGCACCAAGCTATGTGCAATACACTAAACTGCAGGGATCAACAAAAGGGTCACTTAACAAAAATGATACGTCCATTGGCAACATGGAAACAATATCTTGGAGACTTAACTACACTCAGGGACAAGTATTTCTGACAATTCAGAAGAAGTGAAGAATGTGCGTGCACATCTTTGATTGGCACTCAAGGGGGGTAAGCACATGAGCACATTGCCACAAAAATATTTATCCCTAAGTATAGCATGATCATAGATAACAGAAGGAATAAAACATGGAGAGGACGACACACGGACGAGTACATTTTTTCAACTCGCAACAAAGTTTATTCCATGGAGTAGGAGCGTCCATTCCCCCACGGGCACTCATACTCCATGGAATAAACTTTGTTGAAAGTTAAAAGAATGTACTCGTCTGTGCGTCGTCCTCTACATGTTTTATTCTTTGTTATCTAGCATATTTTACCAACATGCTCATTAGGAATATAATAGCATGATCTTTCAGCTGTAAACATGACTAAAATAAAGTTCTGCTTGCAGACGACTATGGCCAGCATCCATTAAAGTTTAGCTACCAAATAAGACTAGGAAAATTCAAAGCTGGCAGATGGCACACTAAACGTCATGTGAACTCCAAACATTTTTAGGAGAAACCGCCTGTAGCAGGATTACACACACCTCACAAGGCCACAAAGAATGTGAACATGTCACAATCAACGAGTTTACGCAGTTACGAGAACAATGGAAGAAAAAGATTATGGCATGAAACAACAACCCCTTTTTCATGTCAAGTCATCGAAATCTACCTAGATGGCCATTGGCCAATGCAGTTTTGCATGCAACAATCATCATCCCCATCCCCCCTTTTAGATGCTAATTACAACCTTTGCAATGTGGCGGACATGACTGAACAAAAGAAAAGAAACAATGCCATATCAAACGACTCAAAAGGGAGGCCAAAGTGGTCTTGGAACACATCTTGAATGGTGAGTCGATCAAAAGTAGATCATGAAAAGACCTGAGCACACCAGTGATTTCAAGTTTCGCAACCTGGAATCTGTGAGAGCTGGTTTCAAAGAATGTCTTCCAAGGCAAGGGTCTAACGGTGCAGTACTTTGATTATTTTTTTTACAGGGATAATATTAAATTCTGATGCTTAATGTAAAGCTCCTTCTCTAGGCACGAATAAAAATTCATCTTTGAGAAAATACCTTGCTGAAATATCTTCATGTCAGCGAAAAAAACAATGATTTCTGAAATATGAGTATACCTACAGTGATACACAGAGTGTATCATTGTAAACTGTCACCAGTTTTGCATACATTAATTTCTCATTAAGCTGTGATTGGATATTGAACTCGTGTTTTTGACATTGCAAGATCCCCATTCATATATGGAATGATTTTAAAAATATATATGTTTTCATAAAGATGCGCAGGTTCATTTCAATCAACTTAAAAATGAAACCGCATTGATAATACAGCAATGCTTAAAGCGTCATGCACAGGGTTTCGTCAGAATATCTCCGAGATGAATATGCTTAGAGGACAGCAGCCATAAACAAATAATTAATTTTTTTTAATTTTTGGTTCCAGACAGAGATAATCGCACATTACTGAAGTTTAGAAAAAAATTATTATACAGCTAGCTAAATCTTGATGACGAAATTAAAATCTGTGTCATTTGGCACAAAAGTCAGATGGCATGAATTTATAAATCCGAAACAAGTGATGCAGCTTACCTTGAAAATATATTGCACAATAATTTCTAAGCTATTAGTTCACATGTTGAAAGAGAAACCATCCAGCAAACTGTTGTTACCAAATGCAAAGTTTGCTCATGTATTGAAATTAACATGTAAAAGAGAAAAAGCCCTGATTTTTCACTATCAGTGCGGTACTGAAGAAAAATGGGCAATCCTTCGGTTATACCTGACAAAATTGTCATGCATGAAATATGTTTTTTGGGTCTTGGTGCGATCCCTTATGTACCAAGACTCGTGCCGCAACTTCCCACAACGTCAGTGGTTGTCGCTATGGTCACAAGATCGCTTATGCCAGCCAATGCGTAAGGTGCCACCCACGAGGAAGCTGTGTTGGTGACGCTATTGCAAAGGCCAAAAAAGTTCCGATGTATCAAGTCAACAAAATCCACTCTATTTAGCGGAAAATTGTCACTTGACCATGTCACATGACCACCGTCCACTAAATCTGGTGGAAGATGTCTCGTCTGTAAAATTTGGCGGATCATTGTTTGCACGATGCTTTCTTGTAATTGCTGAAAAGTGACTGGTTCTCCCTTATAATGTATCCTACATAAAAAACCATTGGTATGTGCTTCTTTCAAAATATGGTAATCAAAATACAACCCTCTGTGAATAGCCAAAAGTCAACAATCAACAACTCCCGAAACTTGTCGGGTAATTACCTACCTACACCCGAGGCGATTACAGTTATCATTGAGCATTGAGAGCACCGTCTGTCAATAATTTGCTACAGTCGACAATCTGTGCTATGTATGTTGGCCATGTATCCACCATGCTTTCAACAGTGTGCAAAAACTTTTAGTGGTCAGACGTTTCGTTTTTTTTTTTCTTTCTTTTTAAAAGAAATTGATTGGTAAAAAGAAATATGGACTAAAAATATGACCAGGTGTCAAACCGTGAAGTGCCGATCATTGGAATCTGCTACGCAATGGGACACCGGAAATAGCCTTTCGTACGCGACGCAGATCACAATTCAAAAGCCTTCTCAACTTCGTCGTGGCCTAGAATACTTCCATATATCCATATCTTGCATGCTGCTTTCCAAACTTAACCCTACAGTACTCCATTCTGTTTTACAATGAACCACAGTGGATGCTATGTGCCCTCCAGGCCAATCCAGCGCTGTGAACGTGTGACGCTGGGTGCGTCACACTTACGCCTCGACGCACCCTGCGTTGCGGCAGTTCATAGTAAACTGAAGTACAATCTACTAACAGTGCCCGACAGAGCCCTCACTCTTCGTGCATTCCACAAGGAAGAAGATGCACGGGTCCTTGCTGGAGCGGCACAGAGTGGCCAACCCACCCGGGTCAACATTGCCCATATGGGCTCTATCTCACATATTACCCGCAAAAGTGAACGATTGGTCCCTATCCACTGGACGCACGCAGAGTTGAGATTGGCGCCTGGCTCATTTCACGAGTTCCTCAGCATTCCGCTTCGAGTAGCCGCTCTTCCTGCTCGGGAAGGACCACTTGGAGGTACTTCTGCATTGCCACTGTCAGGTACCCTGCAATTGAAAATAAAGCGGCATTCCTCCAATTTGTCACGTAACTGCACGCTTATTTATGCAACGAGAAACCAACCACCTTGACATGCTCATGGGCATGATAACTTTTTTCAAAGGGGGGGAGAGTTTACAATTTGTTTTTTAGACGGGAGCAATGAACCCAAAAGCATCGCTGTGGCAAGTTGCAATTGGCCAAGCAGACACTATAATGATTTTGTAGGACTGGGGTTCTTTCGTCGTATTACTATTACGCTTTCACCAGCGAAAATAAGGGTATAACGACAGACTGTCAACTTTGACAGTGTTGGTTTTATAAACATGACGGTTTCGAGCTTCTGCCATGCTTGTTATGCATATTATCAAGCTTGTCGTTCAGATTTGGTAATCCTATTCATGTCGTCGAAAGGAACCATAAAGACGCAGTCTCGTGTATCATACAAAAGGCACAGTGTTCACTGCAGCCATGACGACGAAAATACCTACGGACACGCCTCAAACATATTTGAAGCTTCGTGTATGCTCATGTCTGTAAACAGTGTTGTATGACCAATATGTGACATCATACAAGGAAGACGCATTCCTCAGATAGTTTGTGCAGACTGTCTTTCGTACAATGTGTCGACAGTGTGACCGTGGCCCAAGAATACCCAAGGGAGGTGTAGGTGCTCTCCCCTTGCACTCCCCCCTGGACACCCACGCTAATACTACTGCCTTATTTTCTGTCCTCGCAAATAGATTATCGGGACATCAAAACAGTCCTTTATCGATCACCTGGGCTGTGCTAATCCCAGTTTGAATGCGAGAATGGGACATAAATTTAACCAGCCTGGGGACTCCGTAAGTGTCCACAAAATCTCCTTTGGATACTGCCGCACTAGGAGACGTCCATAGGACATTCCAGACATCCACGAGACATTATTAGGACAATAAAACAAAATCAACTGTTGAGCTAGTACGGCAAACGACAGATAAATAGTGACAAGTGGGGAGGGGCGGAAAGAGGAAGCCTTTGTCCTGTTCACTTCTAGGCCCCCTCGTCTGCGAAGCTATCGTATTTTGCGACGTTAAGACGTATACAGAACATGTGTAAAACTCTTCGAACTTTCTTGAACAGCCACATGATGTTTATACGGCCTCAAGATATTCACGATACATCCAAAAGGCAAAGCAATATCTCCCTGACGCCTGCTGTAAAACAACAGCATGTCACCTGAATAACCGCGAGACTTCCATACAAAATTACAACATGCCCAGATAATATTAAAAAATTTTGGGCAATTTCGGCACATCAATGAGACATCGCTAAGACTTTGCTGCATCTTCTGCACGTTCACGGGACATCGCAACCTCAACTGAACATCCCTAGAATGCTTGGACATCAGAATGTCGACGGGACATCAATAGGGCTGCCACGCCTTCCGAATCTCCATAAGACATTCGTTCTTAAGACTTCCATACAACAGCGCAACATGCAGAGAACATTCAAAAGATTTTGTCAGGCATGTTCCGAACATCCCCGAGTCATCAATAGGGCATTGCAACATCCTCTGCATGTTAGCTGGGCTCTCATCAAATACTGCGAAATCAACAAAACATCCCCAGAACATTCGGACATACAACCGTCAATGAAACATGAATAGGGCTGCAATGTCTTTTGAATGTCCAGAGGATATCCACGAATGAAAGCAACATCCCTGGCAGCGATACTGCTTCAGCCACAATGAACATCCCCCTTGGATCTCTCAAACAGTCACAGGAGTCCACAGTAAACCAGAAGCCACACTCACGTGAAACACGTCCCACTGCCTTGTTCTTTGCACTCCAGCAGACAAAGATGTAGTACGCCGGTATACCGCTGATGAGGATGACTAGCCCCATGCCTGTCTCCACGGGACTGGCGTACAGGGGCATGAACGTGAGGAATGCGCACATGACGAGGAAGACCAGCGGGAAGACCAAGGGCACCTTGATGGGACGATGCATGCGGGGACGCTTGTAGCGCAGCCACAGCATGCCCAGGATTGAGACTCCCACCCACAGCCACTGGTTGAAGCTGAGGTAGTTGATGAGGACGAAGATGTCGCTCGTGCAGAACATCAGCAGGGCCACAGCACACTACAAGTGCAAAGACATGGGACGGATTAAAAGTATGTTAATCGTTCTGCTCGAATGAGAGGTAGACAGAAGATGTACAAGCAAATTCATCAATGTTTACGGTATATGACCAGACCTGGCAGCCAATGTTAAGGAACTACACACACGTTAGGCAGTTCAAATAGGTCAAAGACTGTAGGGTGTGGGACAGATTAAAAGCATTAAGTTTTAATCATTCTGCATGAACATGATGGAGGTAGATGAGAAAAGAGCAGGTCCGCTGACAGTGGCGTCGCAAGGGGGGTGCAGGGTAGTGACTCCACTGTCCACTGAAGATTATAGTAGGACGACGTGGCAATCAACGATGAGAAACCATTCACACTTTGGGTAGTTCAAACAGGTCGAACACTGCAGAAAAGTATATAAACTTGGGTGATCGAGTTAGTACTGCATACAAGAAATACTGTTTCTAGTATGCATCTCGTTGCAATATCCGTATTTTTCGGTGTAGAACTGGCAGTTGTTTTCCAAAATTTCCGCCGAAGCGTGTTAGAGAACAATGTGCGGCCTAAGTATGTTTTTGCCATAGGTAATATGCCTTTTTTTTTTTCATAGAGTGGTTGTCTGCCCTCATCTTTCGTGTTGACATTCTTTCAAACTGATGTAGACCTCTGTGCTCCTGTACCCCTCTGTGTTTCTAAATGTCACCCTAAAAAATAGCGCAAAAACATATGTGTCTATATCTGCCAACAAAGAAGGTGCCCTCTCCGTTGATCAAAAGCAAAAAAAAACAACAGTAAGCCGAAATGAAAAATTGGAAGCCAAAAACGCTTTCTAACAATGTTACATACCGATAATAGAAGAGGGGGCGTCGGTGTGAGCTTCTCAGCATTGATCATTCCGAAGATCATGGGAAGGTGCCCTTCTAATGCTCCAATGAAGAAAAGCCTGGAAATCAGAGATGAGAGAAATGTCAGTCAGAAGGAAAGCAAACTGTGGTCCTGAAACAAAATTCTTGGGAAAATAATGTGAAATTCGCTCCGAGATGACGGCAATGTTCCCTTTCAAGTTGTCCAGAAGTTGTAAAAACCAGCAAAAGATATGTAGTGAATGTAAGGGTGCAAACAAGCTGGTATAGATTGAACATGACGTAAACCCCGAGATTGCAGGAAAAATACTGTACGAGCACTAAAAGGTCTTGAACACAGCTGAATTTTTATTTGCAAAAAGTGCTTACACAGGCACCATGAGAAAAATAAAAAGGTTTTTTTCGTTTTTCTTTGTTAAGGTGCCAATATAATCACTTTTCAGAAATAGAAATTCAGCTGCATTCGAGATCTTTTAGTGTTCTTGTCAATTTTTTCCCTGCAGCCTCGAGATCTATGTGTCATGTTTGATAGAAATGTTTCTCTACAGATATACCATTGGTACGCACTATTTGCACAAAAGCATGAATAATTTAGGAAAGAAGTAAAAAAAGTTGGTCGCCACAAGCGGCTTGTAACTTCGCCACACACAACTAGATGTGGTAATTTAGCGGTTGGACGAATGCAGGGATGGGCAAAATACATGCAAATATGTATCGAAATACAAACACAAAATACTTTGTCAAAAATGTATTTAATTACAAATTTAATTACATTTCCAAAAAAGCATTTAAGTACAAGCTACAAATACAACCAAATGTATTTGGTCTCCTCCAAATACTTTTCCAAATACATTCCTCAAAATTTGTGTCAGCGACTTCAGGGCACCTGCAACGGGTTTCTGGGTATCTCATTTTAATTTTGCATCGCACACTCGGGGGTTAGTGTACGAGGCTCTAGTAAAGTAATAGAAATATAATCACAATAAAATGCAATCAGCTTGGACGTAATAGGTGAAAAAAGTAAAGAGTTTCAAGCAGCTTTTTTGTCGATTACATTTTGGTATAGACCAACAAAAAACCGAGACGACCAAGACGCGCAGCACTAGCTAGAGAATTTTTCTCTTGTTGCAACTCGCACCAGTTACGAAAATCTGGACGACCCGCGCATTTAGAATATTCCAGGCAAAAATAGGAATGGAAATCAGGCTGGAAAGCATCACAAGGTGTCACAGGTACTTATTTAGCCAGTCTGCCTGTGAACGTCGATTTCGTCACTATTCTTGCCCTGGACTAGCACCGTAATCACCAAGTCACTGATTGCTTGTGCTTGATTGAGAGACACTGCATAAAGAAAGAGCAGCTTTGGACACGTCTTAGGATGAGCAAAATGAGTCGTGACAATAAATTTGAGGGATGTCCACAAAATTGTATTTAATTACAATTGTATTTGAAATACCCACGTTTTAGTATTTAAATACACATGGCAAATACATTACCCAATTTGTAATTAAATACAAATGCAAAATACACAAAGTATTTGAAATACGTATTTCAAATAGTTGTGTTTGAAATACTACCCATCTTTGGACGAATGTCTAGATGCAGGTTTTGAGTCAAGGAGATGGCAACGTTCACTAAATGGTAAAACTGACTTTCAGTGTTCATGATTAAGATCCTTAAAGTACAGCTTTGGAGCCCTTCAGCCACCACAACCTAAGATTCATTCAAGATAAAAGTGGGCTCTTAATGCAATAGTTATATCTAAGATGTTTAAAAAAAATTTCATTAAATTCATTATAATGCAATTAAATTCGAAGGTGCAAGCGAGCTGGACAAGAATGATAAAAATAATCCCTGGAGAAGGGGAACAAGAGGGACAAAGGACAAACACAGCTAGATGACTGATGCGCGACTGAAAAAATCCGCCTGGTCCGGGTATCGAACCCGGGACCTCTCCATCTCCAGTGAAACGCTCTACCAACTGAGCTAACCCCTGGCGCTCCACCTGTAATGAGACGTCCCGGGTTCAATACCCGGACCAGGCGGATTTTTTCGGTCGCACATCAGTCATCTAGCTGTGTTTGGAGATTTGTGTTTGTCCTTTGTCCCTCTTGTTCCCCTTCTCCAGGGATTATTTTTATCGTTAAATTCAGTTTTTTCTTGTTAACAAGAAGTGTAAATACAAACCTATCTAAACGAAAGTAGAGATGTCAACAAAACATGTTTCTTGATAAAAAAAAAAAAAAAAAAAACTATATAAGGACGTCAACAAGAAGACATTAGTGTGAAAAAAGACTCACCTGGCTATCGTGAACATAATTCCGTTCAGTCCACCAAAGGTCGAAAGGCTGACAAAGACAGGCATGATCCAGGCAACCATGCCAATTGTTCGCTGTGCAAAGGTCTGCGAAAACAAAGCAGAAGAACAAAAGCCTCAGGTAATCATCACAAATAAGAAATGTTTCTCAGCGACAAAGGAAAGAGAAATCAGCTTATGGTACAGTTAATATGAACAGCTTGTTAATATGGACACCTCCTTTCCCCCCAGAAATCATCCGTAATCCGTAATGCGAGTCATACGAGACAAACATCCAGATAATATACCCGACTGGTCCCCGAAAACATTGTCTATATAGCGGCTATCCATACTTAACCAGACGTGACTGTAACAGCTTTGCTCATTATGAACAGCTGTCAGAACAAACACGGGAAATGGGGCCACCAAACTATGATTAGGGCAGATTTTAAGTTGATGAGTATTCAATTCTGCTTAAACAAAATGCAGTTACACAAGCCTCATTTTCATAAACTCTGGAGTGCTGGCAAGAAACAAAAACGAGGCAACAATCTCGGGTAGCTCGAAAAGTATGGCAAAATCCACACCACGTTGCCTCCTCCCCTCGAATGTTCCTGTTTAATGGTAGGAGTGACAGACTTAACTATGTGGGAGCCAGGCAGCATTAGAAAATCTAGACATATTAAAGCAAACAGTCTTTCCGAGTCTATGGACGATGTACACTTTTGCATGTCTGATGTCGGCGCACCACCGTAATCGTGGCAGGCAACAGCGCGACACACGACGTCGTCGGGCAGAAATCGAGGGACCACAGACGAGGACGTTGTAAGCACGCTCGTCGGAGACGCCTTCCGAGCACTGTACCTCGACTAACGGAGACAGCAAAGCGCATGCTCTAACTAAACTCAAAGCAAAAAGATGCGCACCACAGCAACTGCCGGCGATGACAGCATTTCCTGCGGGGAGACCACCGTGAAGTAGGCCACGTTGGCCAGGACGTAAAACAGCGTCACCAGCGTGATGCCGATGTAGATGGCCCTCGGTAGGTTCCTGAAGGGTGTCAGTAAGGGAAAAGACACTGTCACCGACAGGATGAGAGATGCAAGGAGGAGTCTCAGTTGTCCCGCCTCCGGCGAGAGCTTCTTACTTTCGATAACCTTTTGGCGTCTCGTTGAAAGCCGGGCATTCGAAAGAGACGACCTGTCCTTGTTATTTTGCAATGATCATAATCCGAAAGCTAAGGCTTCGGATATATGTAGGAATTGGATGTAAATGCCCAGGATGACCCGAGATTTTATGACTAAGTTTTGTGAACAAGGTTTTGAGACAACACTCCCATCACGTGTATGGAATGCCACAATGCCACAGTATGTCCATCGCATGATATGCAAAAAATGATATTACAATTCGGTCTGACGTGTCCATCGGGAATGTGGATTGCCGAATGACTGGAACTTCATGTTTCCTTTATTTCGGTAGAGCGTTTCAGCCTTACAGTGATGCGAGGAATAGCAAATTTTATAAACGTCTATTAAACAAAATCTTCAACGATTTGAACAAATTTTGGTGTTTCTTTAACTCTGAATAACTGAGCGTTTGCTGAGACTAAAATCTTTATTAGCTGAATCTACAAGCTTATAGGCGAAAATTACCTCGTGTTTGGAGTCATTTGATAATAAGGTAAAAAAATGAAAGCCGTTTACAACTCCCTGTAACACCGAATTAGAGCGCAGCTCTTGAGGAGGAGGAGGAAACGGTACTGGGGGGGGGGGTCACGTGACCTTGGGGGTCACGTGACGATGCCGATGATGTCACAGTGACGATGACGATGCGAACTCCGATGACGTCATCAGCGATGATGACGATGCGGATGTCCGTGACGTCATCAGTGACGTCACTGATGACGTCATCTGTGATGATGACGATGACGATACCGATGCCGGTGACGTCATCAGTGACGTCACTGATGACGTCATCAGTGATGATGACGATGACGATGCGGATGCCAGTGAGGTCATCAGTGACGTCACTGATGACGTCATCAGTGATGATGACGATGCGGATGCTAGTGAGGTCATCAGTGACGTCACTGATGACGTCATCAATGATGATGACGATGACGATGCGGATGCCGGTGACGTCATCAGTGACGATGACGTCATCGGGGAGGTCACGTGACCTCGGGGGGGGGGGGGGGGGGGGGGGGTCACGTGACCTTGGGGTGACCTTGGTTACGCCGACGCCGCTCAAGCCGGGAACGGGCCCCTAAGAGCTGCGCTCTAATATACAGCAGTGTTTCGATAATAAAACCTTGACAAATGAATCATCTGTTGTGATGCAAAAAAAACTTCATACTTAAAATGTCATATTACAGCAGAGATATTGATTTATAACACACATGGAACCTCTTGCTACATCTTTTAATGGGAAACATTTATAGGCTAGGTTTTCAGATGAAGTGAAGCCTCAAAGAGCGTAATCACGAACTTCCCCGCTAACTTTTTAGAGGGAACAATAACGTCATGGGGCTTCATGTCACGTGGCGTATGAACAAATCCAGTTTCCCGCTAAATTTAGCAAAAAAATTGACGTCACGTGACATGGTCACATGACCTATACGAAAATTCAGTTTCCCTGCTAGATTTAGAGGGAAAATTGGTGTCGCATGACTTCAACACCAATTCAGTTTTTTCCACTAAATTTTGCAGAGACACAAAAATGCTGTCACATGACTTTGTGTCACGTGATCTATACAGAGATTTAGTTTCCCCGCTAGATTTAGTGGGAATATGGACATCACGTGACCTGATTGACGATTTAGTGGAGAATTATGTCACATGACTTCATGACACGCGACCTACAGACTTTTCACCCTCTGTCGCATGGACGCTGCCACATTCAAACCACGTAACGCGGCCGCCATTAGGTTGCTACAACCCCCCGCTCTTATCTCCCTTCCGCACCTACTAGGCGGATGCATTGTCTTTGTGTTTTTTGTCGTGTTTCACCGTGTTTCTTTTCCTTACTCCGTAAAATGTAGACCGATATTTTAGTTTTATTACCTAACTGCATTACATCATTATGTGCACAACTTCTGCAGTTAAGTTTGTAGCACGTTTTTACTATTTTCAGCATCTGCGTATGGAATACGTGTGAAGGTGAAGCACGGGAATCAGCGTTTGCACTGAGGCAGATTGAGTACGCACATGACGAAAACAGCACGAGGGTTCAAAGGCCAATCACTCATGGCAACTCAGGATTGCTCACTAATAGCAGCAAAACATACCCAATAAGAATTAAGTCACGTGCGTTTAACTTGCATTTTATCTCATGTTAGGAATGATGGTACGTCACCATCAGGCAATATGTCTGCTAATAATATCACCTCTACATGTATTCAACATTCTTGATAACCCTTCTAAATGTACACATTCACTTGATCAGTTTTTTTTACTAGTTTAAAGACTAAAACATTGCTCAATCACATTTCTGGAGTCTTTCAAATGATTAAATTTTTCCTAAAGAGCAACTCCGCCTTATTTTTATTTTTGCAAAAACAATGCAGTCCTTTTCAGTATATACCTAGGAAGACAACACGCCAAATATTACAACCTAGTTCTGTCTATATGTTTCTTAAACGATCCAGCAAATTTTGCAATAGCGCCAAGTTGCCGAAATCGGAGGACTCTAGCGGGCCAATTGAGGTGAAACCAACAGCGTGGTCAAGGATATGGCGAGATGTAGGCAACGTTGAGCTAAACATCATTCCCATCGCCTCTTTTTCTTTGTTTTTATTTCTCCGGTTCAGCGTAACGGGTGACGTCGGCAACGTTTCCTCTCGTCATTCAACGGAGCCCACGTGATTGGCGTAACGCGAATGCGCAGCGCGATTCTTGGGAGCCGTTTGGCCGTCCGGCCGTTTTGCCCGTTACCGCCGTCTCCCGCGTCACAACCGCCGTCCTCGTCTCACCGTTTGTGATCCTTGCCTTTCGAAGTTTCATTCACACTATGTGGGCAGACTGATGCCGCAGTTGTGCTGACATTGTCGAATGTCGTGGACACCAAAACGTGGTGAAGGGTGCGGTGCAGACGACACTAGCGCCTGGCACACGCCCGTCCCAAGCGTGTCCGTCGTTGCATAGACGATCACGTGACATCTCGTATCACGTGATAGTCATATTTTTGCAGGCCCGAGGCCAAAGTCGACGGACAGAGCCGAATTTCTGGTTTCGATTTCTGCTCGTGTTAAAAGTATGATTTAACAATATATATCCCATTTTTCACGAAGCTAATGATGTAGTGCCTTTTACTAGTGCTTTTTATTGTGAAATCAATCATTATCCTGAAAAGTTTTGGAATGGAGCGGTGTTGCCCTTTAACATAACCAGTTTAATTCAATCAATTTATTGCAATACAAAGGTTATGCAAGGTCAATATTGTGAAATTCTGTTAATGGGTACTTCAACGGACAATAATTCAAAACTTTCCTACTCGGCCTAGGTCGGACTGTCTAACTCTAACACTATAACTAACTCTAGCCCTAACTAACACTAACTCCACCAAGCACTTGGTTTAACGCTAGTGGTGTAGCTGAACAATTTGCAACACATTTTTTCTAATATAATATGCATATGTTATGCACCAGATAAAACAGTTATCTGAACTCAATTATTTTATTTGGTGAAGGATGTGTCAGTCTAAGATATTGCCTGATTTGCGAGCTACACATATAAAAAACATACATGCACATGCATCAATATTAGGAAAAGTGCACCAACTCGGCCATGGGCCAATCACAGCTCAAGAGGGCAGGGCCAAACCCAAGCCGATCAGTCACAGTGCAGGAGTGCGGGGCTTCTTCCCCCTCTCCCATCACAGTGACCAATGACAGGCCACAATCATCGATGGCCACGTCCACAGCGATCACCGACATAGATGGCCCTGCTCACAGGGGATTGGCCAGTGGCCAATCGAGCTCATCAATTTCCTTGCCCCCGAGTCACGTACACGGCGAAGGTGTGAAGTCACGTCCGGAGCGCATGCCAGGCGGGTGGGAAAGGCACGTAGCCAGTGGGCAGCCAATCACAGCGGATGTCACCACTATGTTTTGACAACCCCTGTCATCACGTGATGAAAACCCGGTGACATCACCACGTGATGTCGCCAGGTTCAAGCTGCATCCGACAGAGGGCGCTAGGTGCTATGAGATTTGAATGGCGTTGCAGGAAAGCAGATTTGCGGGACGTCATTGCTGCGGTTAAGTGACGAAGGTCATGTGAAATTTGAATCGCTGCGCATTAAATGTTTCATTCGTTAAAAAAGATTCTGCGTTGACTGGGAATCAACCCCGATACCTCGTCCACTGTAACCTAGCACTCTACCAATTGAGCTACCAGCACAACGCTTCCTCGAAATCTTAACCCGTGCTAGCTATCCGTATGTTGAGCGCATGTGCAATTCAGATCATGTGTAAAGCTGCCTTGGCACTTGGCTTTTGTCACCTGGTTTAAAATAAAGATGAAATATCAATATAGTTTTCGGTCCCGTGAATCTTGCACATCATTTTTGTTAAATTTTATTATGACATCGCGCTTGGAATTAAGTTCAAAAAATGTGTTCTTTGTGTTTTCCTAGATGCGTGCAGGACTTTTCATAAAGTGGATCACTGGTTGTTATTGCAAAGTTGCATGTTTTGAATATTGATCCTTATGTTTTTTTCTAGATTGGCAACTACCTTTGTGATGAAAAGCCACATGTGATTTTGGATGGTCATTTATCAAGTACTGTAACCATTACATCTAAAGTCCCACAGGGCTGAATCTTTGGTCCTCTTATTTTTCTGATGTATATAAATGATATTTGTTTAAATATTTTTTTGTGCTTTAAACTATTCGTTGAGGATGTTGTTCCATACAGGACAATTAATGACGATGAAGATTATTTTAAATTTCAATTAGACATAAATCGAGTATCAAACTGGCGTAGTGACTGGGGCTTGAAACAAGTATGTCTAGAACGGTAATGTTTTTGAGAAAAAGAAAAGTTACAGA